GAGAGAGCGAGAGAGAGAGAGAGAGAGCGAGAGCGAGAGCGAGAGAGAGAGAGAGCGAGAGCAAGAGAGAGAGAGAGAGAGAGAGATTGGTTGCCTGTGTGAATTAGCCTACCTGCGTCTGTGCGTCTCTCCAGTAGGCTATTTAATCTATTTTATTAATAAAAGTCACAGGGCAGCATTCTCAAGAAGTTTGTGTCCTCCTGAATGTTTGTACACGTGCGCAGCGCGATCTCACAAACCAAAATAATAGACATGATTTTCTCAGGCCACATGAAAAATCATATGAATTATTAAAATGAATAGGCTACGTATGGATGACAGTTGATTACAATATTTCAGTTTATTTCCATCATTAGTAACAGTTTCCCCTGTGGGACAAATAAAGTTAATATTAGTCGTATATTAATAATATGCTACTTCATTCACTTTGTTATTTACTATCCGTGTTGTAGTATTATTCATAAGTAAAAATCAACAATATTTTTTTTCACCAGGTTTCCAAAGTCTCTACCTCAGGTCCAAAAGAAATGTAAAGAATGTACAAACTGAAAACATTAAATACTTTTACGATCTATTTCCATTTGTTATTTTCAAAAGAGAAATACTGTCCTGGATGTTTACAGAGCAGAGGTCACCTTTTTTTTATATAATTTTTTGCTGTATTGTTGGTTATGGTGTTATTTCGGTTTCAAAAGCCAGCAATAAATAACACTTTAATATCTAAAGAGTGTTCATGTGATTTTATACATTAGTAATGTTGGGAAATGAATAAATGCATAATAATCGTCATAATCGTAAAACCATGATTATTCCCCAGACAATAATCATACCAACAAAATCTATAATCGTTGCATCCCTACTCGGGAAGTAACTAGCGTTTTTGTAGGCATTAATCTGCCAGAATCTTAAAAGACGATATCTCCGTTTGCATTGAGCTTTCAGCTTCGTAACTTTGCAGATATTGTTTATGCTCAAACAGCAACATTACACACTAACTAACATTAAAAAAATGAAATCACAATCAACCCCCCCCCCCCATTTAGACATTACCGGGAGATATAGAGAGACAACTCATATTTTTATGCATTTTATGTAAGTAGTTTGTTATATTGTTATAAAGACCTCATTGAAACAATTTCATATTACTTTTTGGCCATATAAATATCAGCAACTGCAGCAGATTGCATATTTTTGCTCAGTTTGGGCTTCTAAATTAAAATGTTATTTACTTATTTTAGTTGTATTTATTTTTTAAATGTAACGGTTTAGTGTACTCATGGACAAAATATATTTAAAAGAAAGTATTTTATGCATAAGTGTTTTGTATCATATTTGATACATAGGGATTTTATGGTCCATATAGTACGGAACCAAATATATACATTTAAACTATTTCATGACAGGGTTAATTATCATCAATAATGCACTTTGCCTCTTTATATTATATAAAATATTTATCTCACAATGGTCATTTTAATATGCTACAGTGGCCCCATGAAGTACTTAGACCAGTGGTCTCAAACTCAGTTCCTGGAGGGCCACAGCTCTGCAGAGAATCTTAAAAGACGATATCTCCGTTTGCATTGAGCTTTCAGCTTCGTAACTTTGCAGATATTGTTTATGCTCAAACAGCAACATTACACACTAACTAACGTTAAAAAAGTGAAATCACAATCAACCACCCCCCCCCATTTAGACATTACCGGGAGATATAGAGAGACAACTCATATTTATATGCATTTTATGTAAGTAGTTTGTTATATTGTTATAAAGACCTCATTGAAACAATTTCATATTACTTTTTGGCCATATAAATATCAGCAACTGCAGCAGATTGCATATTTTTGCTCAGTTTGGGCTTCTAAATTAAAATGTTATTTACTTATTTTAGTTGTATTTATTTTTTAAATGTAACGGTTTAGTGTACTCATGGACAAAATATATTTAAAAGAAAGTATTTTATGCATAAGTGTTTTGTATCATATTTGATACATAGGGATTTTATGGTCCATATAGTACGGAACCAAATATATACATTTAAACTATTTCATGACAGGGTTAATTATCATCAATAATGCACTTTGCCTCTTTATATTATATAAAATATTTATCTCACAATGGTCATTTTAATATGCTACAGTGGCCCCATGAAGTACTTAGACCAGTGGTCTCAAACTCAGTTCCTGGAGGGCCACAGCTCTGCAGAGTTTAGCTCCAACTCACACCTGCTTGGAAGTTTCTAGTGATCCTGAAGACCTTGATTGGCTGGATCAGGTGCGTTTGATTAGGGTTGGAGCTAAACTCTGCATAGCTGTGGCCCTCCAGGAACTGAGTTTGAGACCACTGACTTTAGCCCTATTCGCACGGGATTAGTATTACCTGGTGACCTCCAGTCATTTGTAATAATTGCGGCGGTTGTCTGTGATCTTAATCCCGTGCGAATCGGCTATGTCTGTAATTTGTAAAGTAAAAATTCCCCCGCAAATGACCTACCATATTTCGCCGGACACAGAGGTCCTGTGATAATTTTAATCCCGTGCAAATCGGCATCTCTGTGATTCGGCAGGTCGCATATCATTTTTCGAGGTTTTTGTTTGCCGTGTGCCTTTTTATCCATCTTCCGCGAAGAATGGAGCTGCGTTGGAGTGTTTGATAGTATTTTGGGTGCTGTCATCATATCGCTACACCATACAATTTGCAGAAAGAGAAAGCTGAAAAGGTTTTGAGGTTAACGAGTTACAAATAAATCAAGCATAAAGCTTGAGATATTATTTTAACCTGGTGAAATGTAATGACTCAGCGCACGAAACTATATTAGTTTCTTTTTTCTTTTTAATCCATCTGGACCATAGAACGGGACTCTCAAAGCCTTGACATCCAGGTATCCGGGAGACAAGTCAGTAAATTCGAGTAAAATCACAGGCTTTGCTTATCCCGTGCAAATTCAGATGTGGGGGGTAATTTCAAAATCACACAAGGTCCCCAGATAATACTAATCCCGTCCGAATAGGGCTAAAGACACAGTAAGTCACAATTAAAAATGAATATTACTACACTGGATAACAAAATATCAAGGTTTTCATACGGGGTTTTGGTGACTTTAGTGGAAGTATGAAGTCGGTTCTGCTCAAGTTCACACAGGTGTAGAGAACCACATTAATGTCATTTGATCACTTGAAACTTTTGTAAAAGTTTTGTGAAATGTATAAATGCCACTTGATTGAAAACAGTTGACTATATTATTACAGTTCCAGAGGAACAACACATTTAAATACAATGAAGAATGTCAAAATTATGAACATGTGGCATGATCTCTCACCATCAGACACCATCAGCCACTCCAGATCTCGATCATGAATGGCTTGATCTCCATCTTCACCTGCACCAAGCACACATGTTCAGTGCTGACCTGCAATCCTCAGTATAAGGACTATGTGATTATTTGCAGTGGTTCACACACACACACACACACACACACTCTTTCTCTCTCTCACACACCCACTCTCTCTCTCTCTCTCTCTCTCCCCTCTCACACACACACACTCTCTCTCTCTCTCTCTCTCTCCTCTCTCACACACACACACACTCTCACTCTTTCTCTCTCTCTCTCTCTCACACACACACACACTCTCTC